CGCAGGCGGGGGGCAGTATCCGGGCGGGGATGGTAACGTTTACTCCCCGCAAAGCGGAATGGGGTACGGCGGGGGGGAGGCGGATGGGTATCAAGACGGGATGTACGGTCAGGATCCGCAGCAACATTACGGGCAGGATCAGCAGTTTCAGCAGACGCCACGTCAGCAACAGCAGTGGGCGGGCGCGCAGGGGGGCGCTAATTCCGGGCGGATGATGGGGGGAGGCGGAAGTGGGTCGGGCATGGGGCCTGGGCGGAAGATGGGGGGAGGGGGACAGCAGCAGATGATGCAGCAGCAGCAGGGGCAGGGGCAGGCACAGGGGCAGCAAGGGGTGGAAGACGAGTATTACGGGGCGGGCGCAGGGAACATGTCTGATGCGTCGGATACGAATTTCACGCGGCGGCTGCAGCACATGCAGGCGCAGCAGCAACAGGACGAGGCGGCCTCGCTGCCCATGCTGCCCCCGCCCAGCGCGCCGCAAGTCGTGCAGGTATGCTGTGCCCACTCCTCCCCCTTCTTCCCCGGTCCCCCTCTCCCAGTGCTGCCCATGCTGCCCCCGCCCAGCGCGCCGCAAGTCGTGCAGGTATGCTGCGCCCACTCCTCCCCCTTCTTCCCCGGTCCCCCTCTCCCAGTGCTGCTCATGCTGCCCCCGCCCAGCGCGCCGCAAGTCGTGCAGGTATGCTGCGCCCACTCCTCCCCCTTCTTCCCCGGTCCCCTTCTCCCAGTGCTGCCCATGCTGCCCCCGCCCAGCGCGCCGCAAGTAGTGCAGGTATGCTGTTCCCTCCCAAACCGCTCCTTCACCTTCTCCCTTTCCCTCCCCCCTCCTGCCCCCTCCCTCGCTCCCTGGCCTTTCAATGTGGCGAGTAGTGCAGTCATGGCGAGGGGTGCCGCCATTTCAATCCTCTTCGCCTCGCCTTCTCTCCTCGTGTGATGAGTCGGCTTTTGAGTCGACTCATCACACGAGGAGAGAAGGCGACTAAAAAACCGACTCATCATGGCGAGGGGTGCCGCCATTGCAATCCTCTTTGCCTCGCTTTCTCCCCTCCCTCCATCCGCTCCTCCCGATTCCCCTCCCCCTCTTTTTCCTCTATTCGTTTCCCCCCTCTTGCTCCTCCCCACGTCCCGTCTCCCTCTCTCTGCCCTTCCCTCCCCCCTGTGTATTCTCAGTGCCAGCGCTGCTCCCAGCTACTGGAAGTGCCTCTGCAGCTTCCTCCGGCTAAGAAGGGCGTGCAGAAGCTACGCTGCGGCAAGTGCCTGCGAGTCTCTCGCTTCCAGGTCAACCCTGCTGACCCGCGTTTCGCCAACCAACTGCCGCCAAGTCAGCAACCGCCGCCGCCACAGCCGCCAGCTCAGCAGCATCCCAATCAGCAGCTGCAGGGCGCCGGGGGGAGCGGGCGCTTTCCCTCCCCCTCCCCGCTTCAGCAGCAGCAGAGGGGGGGGAGTGGGACTGGATATGACAGTGATGGTAACGCGAGCATGAGCGGAGGGGGGGGCGCAGGGGGAGGGGGAGGGTTCCGCCCAGGCATGGGGCCAGGCGGAGGGGGAGGCCCCCCCGCCCCCCACCACATGCGCTCGGTTTCTAGGGAGTCTGATGATTATATGGCGGAAGGGGCCGGGGGCGGGGGCGGGGGGATGGGGGGCGGAATGGGCGGGCAAGGGGGAGGAGCAGTCGGGGGGAGAGGGCCCGGGGGAAGGGGGAGAGGCGGGGGGAGGATGGGGGCGGGGAGAGGCGGGGGGGTTATGGGCAGGAGGGGGCCGGGGGGGATGGGTAGGCAGGGGGGAGTAGAAGGGGGGGAGATGGCTGCGCCGTCCTATGGGCACAACCAGCAGCAGCAGGGGATGGGCGGGGGGCCGGTGGGGAGCATGGGCGGAAGCATGGGTGGAAGCATGGGCGGAAACATGGGCGGACACATGGGCGGAGGCATGGGGGGAAACATGGGGGGAGGCATGGGGGGAGGAATGGGGGAGGAGGATGGGATGATGTATAGCCGGCAGGTGATGGTGAATGGGCAGGCACTGCCGGATGAGTATGTGGCTGTGGCAGAGCAGCGGGCGGGCCCCATTCACCCTGGCAACTACTGGTGAGAGAAGGGATGTGTATGTGGTGGGTGGTGTGTGGTGCATGGTGAATGGTCGGTGGTGCATGCGTAGCATCATGACTTATGAGGCATGCAACATGGGGCATGGCACATGGGGCATGTCACAGCAGACAGCATGATCTGAGTAAAGATGATTGCCTGCTGCACTATACCCTGGTGGTTTAGGTAGTAACCACGTGGCAGTACTCTGTCCCCTGTTTTGTGGCAGGTATGATGACGTGGCAGGCTTCTGGGGTGAGATGGGTGGGCCATGCCTCGGCATCATTCCGGTAAGTGCTGAACTGGCATGCAGCATGTTGGCTCACACCCTTCTGTGTTACACATAGCAAGTTCCTCCATTTGTTTTCAACATTCCTCTTTCCTTCTCTCCTCACAACTATCACACCTGCTGTTGCCTTCACCCTTTTTACACCTTCCCCGTTCTCACCCTCTCTTTCTGCCCCATGTTAGCCTACTCTCCTTCCCCTCTCCCATCTTTTCCCTTCCTGTGTCTCCCTTTTCTCCCCTCCCTCCCCCTGCCAGCGGGGCATCGACTTTGGCATACCAATGCATCACTTAAGTATGGGGTGCTCAACCTGCGTGTATGAACGGCAGGGAGCTGCACCACAGGGACCTCGAGTCTGGAGCCTCCCTCCCTGTACTTTCCCCTCCCCCCCACACCTTTCCCATGCCAACCTGGCATTGACTTCCCCCACACCTTTCCCGTGCCAGCCTGGCATTGGCTTCCCCCACACCTTTCCCGTGCCAGCCTGGCATTGACTTCCCCCACACCTTTCCCGTGCCAGCCTGGCATTGACTTCGGGGTAGTGATGCCACAATCCTGTGCCGGCAGCTCAACCCGAGTGTATGTGAACGGCAGGGAGCTGCACCACAGGGACCTCAAGGCTGCTCCTCCCACCCCCCAACCCCCACCCCCCCTTCCACCTGCCAGCCTGGCATTGACTTTGGCGTGCCGATTCCCCAGTCCTGCGCAGGGGGCGCAACCCGCGTGTATGTGAACGGCAGGGAGCTGCACCACAGGGATCTGGAGCGGCTGATGAAGAGAGGGTTACCGGGCACGCCTGACTGCGGTTACCGCATTGAGATCACAGGCAACGTGTTTGATGAGGAGACCGGGGAGTACCTGCTCTGCCTGGGGAAGCTCGCCCCCTCGTGAGTTGCCTTGCCAGCACTGCTGGCACTTCTTTTGCTTGCTTGCTCCCTCCCGCTCTGCCTGGGGAAGCTCGCATTCCCCCAGTAGGGTGGGGGTGGGTGGGGAGGGGAGGGGTACCTGCTCGGCCCCTCGTGAGCTGCTTTTTCTTCTTCCTCCCTATTTTGCTTGCTTGCGTGTGATCCGCATGGTTTCAACCTTTCTGTCTCATTGGATTCACACCTTCCTCCATTACTGTATCCTTCCCATGGGTTTGTTCCAGGCTGGAGAGCAGGAAGAGGGGTGGTGGCATGAAGATGCCAGAGAGAAGCTGAAAATGCCGGAGATGGACCTTAGGTGGGTGGTGTCGGAAAGGAAAGATGAAAGAGATTGAAACCATGTTAGGCGACAGGAATTGATGACAGCTTGTGGTATTTAGCTAAGGGATGTGAGGGCGGGATTGGTTGATCTGGGCAAGGCTGTGTAGCCTGATAAAATGCTGAAGTTGTAATCCTTGGCTTTGAGCTGCTGTTGATCAGGAGTACTGTATTGTATTTTGGCCATTCCCTTTTATCACTATTCGCTGGTGTCACCGCCCAGCTTCAAGCGGCGCGAGTGGTTCAAGGATGACGACGGCCCCGCGCTTTCGGAACAGCTCGAGGCGCTCGGCTCTATAGCCAATCAGTGTCGTCGACGGTGGTTTCGGAGTGAAAGCCCCAGCCGAGGCAGAACGTCGGTTTTAGCTGTTTGGCTGTGAGTGGATGCCGTCACTCTGGTTGGGTCCCAAACCTCGCATGACACTTCACGCTCGGCAAAGCCGAGGTCGTAGCCTGCTCTGAAAATGCCACAAAGCAGCAGATTCTTGACTGGGCCGATCGGCTCGGAACGAGCGCACAGCTGTGCTGTTTCGAGAGATCCCAGGCAAGACTTTCGCTGATTGGCTCGTAGTTTTTTTTTGCTTCGGGACTCCAGGCCAGCCTGCCTCAGCAAAAAGGCACAGCCCCTTCTCCGTTATCCACACGTGCTTTGATGGTGCTTGCATGCATCTGCTTGGCTCGGATGAAAAAGTTATGCTCCGGCATTGAAGGCTCTCACATACCTGTTTGCAAATTCACCAAGCCCGGCGCTCAGCCGCGGTAAATGCGCTAGGTACCGAGCCTCGACAAATTCGGAGTGAAGGGTGAAGGTGCGTCGGACCACGAAGGCAACGCAGCCACGCTTTGCGCAGCTCGGCACACTACCGAGCCAGCCTACTCCAACCTCTTTCACTCACCGGGCCTCCCCTCCCCTCTTCCCTGCGGTGGCCAAGCCAAACCAAAACAACAAGCTCACTCCCTGATCTCACGCTCAAGCTCTCCTCACTGAGAGGAACCTACTACCCTAACCTGTTTGCTCTGCGGAGCTACAGTTTCCTGCCCTGTCTTAGCTTGATTGTGGTGGAAAATGTCGTTCTCAGAAAAGAGAGTCTGGTTTTGTTTATGGTCCTGTCACAGGCTATCTAAACGGTTTTAGACGAGCTATGCACCTCTAGGAGGTTGGTCGTCACTGAGCTCTAAGAAAGAAACGGCATTGAATCTTTCGTGTTGACAGAAGCTTAGGAACAGTCAGCAGCAATACGTGTTTAGAGATTCTAGGTTGCTTTCGAAGGTTACGATGCGTTTAGATGAGCGTAGGTTCGCTAATTTCCCACATCAATCACTGGCGCCACACATCGCACTGTTAGTTGATTAACTACCTTGATTGATTTTGACCGTCTAACGTAACATTTAGCCATGCATCATATCGAGCAGGCACTATCACGCAAGAAAAGCAGCAGCTGGCTGTCGCTTCTTAAAGATGGTCGAAAGGGAGGCAGTTCCAAGTCCACGTCAGCAGCAGCTACAGCGGAACCTACGTCAGCAGAAACCGAAGCGCATCATGCCCCGCCAGGCGAGGAGATTCCGGAGGAGGCTCGGGTCAAGCCTAGCCGAACCTCCAGCGGAGGCTCGTTATTGGACTGGAAAGGGAAGGGCAAGAAGGATAAGCCTAGGAGCTATGCATTGGGGAAGAGCGAACCGGGCGCGCCTGCCGTAACTATCGAGGTTACAAGGGCCTTTGTTGACGACGATTGCCCTCTTTCGTCTCTTTCCTCCACCGTTGTCTCCTCCGTTCCTTCAGGCTCCTCCCTCTCGTCCACCTCCTCTCGTTCCACCTCAGCACGCTCCTCACTGGACCGTCCCGTTAACGGCAGCCCCGCTATAGACCGTTCCAGTAGAGACGATGAGTCGCCTATGGCTCTGCAAACGGCTGACTCCCTGCGCATCCACAGAAAGGCCAAGGAAGCTTCGTCGAAGCAGCACGACGGCACCTCGCCAGTCCCGCAGCTGAAGCTTCGGATAGAACCGCCAGTGGCGAGCCTCGAAGGGTCAGACCGAACCTCGGGCGCGAGCAGCCGAGCCAGCAGCAGCGGGAGCGAGAGCGGAAGCGCGACCGCCAGCAGCGGCCGGCACGACGGGACGAACGGCGCAACCAGCGCGAGCGTATTGAGCAGCAGCAGGGGTAGCGTCGGCGGCCCGAACAGAGACCGGGACCGGAGCAGGGGTAGGGACGGGTCGCTTAGGGTTGTATCGCTCCTAGGGGCGGCGACGGAGGTGGTGGCGACGCTAGGGTTGCAGCATCTGCTGGTGGGGCGGTCGCACGAATGCAAGTTCCCGCCGTCCGTGCTCGCGCTGCCGTGCGTTACGGCGCCCGCGTCGGGATCGGGCGTGGAGGGGCCAAGCTGCGGCTCCGCGCACGACACGGTGAGTGCGCGGCGAACCGCTGTCATGTTGGGCCGTAGACGATGCATCCCTCCCCAACCCACCCCCCACCCCCCTTCCTTACGCTCTTTCCCTCCCCAACTGTCCCTCGCCCCGCTCCCTTCTCTCTCCCCTCTCCAACTCACCGCCATTCTCTCATTCCCGCGCCCTCCCTTCCCCTTGCCTAACCGCAGCTGTCGCAGCACGCGCCCAAGGGACTCCCTGCGAGAAATTTAAAGAAGTCTAGAATCTGCGCTCGCGTGCGCTGTGCTTCTCGCGGACAATCTGGGTGCGATGTGGCGATTTCTTATGTTCTGTTCAGGAGCGTTCACATTCGTGTCCTGCCAATCGTTTAATCACTGCTCTCGTGCCTTCCCCCCACCCTCTTCCCCCTCCGCCATTCTGGCTTCCCTTTCCCGCTTCCCCCTTCCCCCTCCTCTTTTTTTCCCAACCGCAGCTGTCGCAGCGGGTGCGGAAGAGCCTCTCCCGATACCACGTGGACGTGGAAGCGATAAAACGGCTGCAGCCAGATGTGATTATAACGCAGGACGCTTGCGACGTGTGCCTCGTGACTGTAGCGGACCTCGAGGCGGCGTGCGCGGAGTACTTCAAGCAGCGCGAAGACTCGGGACACGTGTGCCACGTGGTATCGCTCAAGCCAATCACGATCTCGGACGTGTGGGACAACATGGTTCAGGTCGCAGCGGCGGTCGGGCACAGGGAGAAAGGTTGCGTGCTCGTGCAGACTCTTAAAGCGCGCTGGTCGCTCGTGCGCAGGCAGGTTCCGCTCCGCGGATCGTCCCCGCGCGTGCGCGTGGTGTGCCTGCAGTGGCTGCGCCCGCTCATGGGGGCGGGGTTCTGGGTTCCGGAGATCGTCGCTTGCGCGGGAGGCAAGAGCCTGTCGGGGAAGGTGAGACATGGGGGAGGTGAGATGTGCGGGAGGTGGGATTGGAGGACGTGACGTGATGGAGGGAGAATGAGTGAAGGGAGGGTGGCGGGGAAATGCAGGTAGACGCTTAACTTCTGGCGCTGTTCGCCTTTCCGTTTCCCCCTCTTGTCCTCTCAATGCTTCCCACCACAACCTTTTCCCCATTGTCCCCTTTTTCCCCTTCTTCCGCCCACAGCCGGGAGAGCGCACGGCCATGCTAACTTTGGAAACCCTTCTATCTTTGGACCCTGACGTCATCATCGCCATGTGCTGCGGATTGTCCATGGAAGCAGTTTTAAGAGAGTTTCTTAACTTGGACGATTTACCCCAGTGGAACCGGTTGAGAGCGGTTCAGACGGATTCCGTCTTCGTGGCTGACGGCGACCGTTACTTTAACAACTCCGGGCCGACTATAGTCGAGTCGGCGGAGATCATGGTGGAAATTCTCCATGCGCGCCGGTTCCCAAACCACAGAACCGCAGTGAACCGCTCTGGCGCGTCTGCTGGCGGTGATAATGACGCCCCGCTTTCCTCTTTCCGCAACAACCGCGGATTGGGCGCAGGACACGTGGCAGCAGGTCCGGATTCCCCGGAGATCGAGATTAAGTACGAGGGGAGGGCATACGCACAGTTGACGGGGGGGTGCGTGGGCGCGTGGCGCGCGCTGCTGGGGGATGGCGGAGGGGTCGACCAGGGGGGAGAAAGCTGGGGAAAACTGGATGTGGGGAAGGGGGGGAATGTGGGGAGCGGTACTGCGGGGGAAAAGGGGAGCGGGAGCGTAGGGGAGGGGGAGGGGTGGTTTGCGCAATTGGCGTCGGAAGCAGCGGCTAAGGGGGCGAAGGAAGCGGCGCGGGAGGCGGCTTTGGTGGCGAAAGCGGGGGGGAAACTGCAGGGAACGCAAGGGCAGGGGAGCAGCAAGGGAGAGTTGGCGAAGGTGGCAAACAACGATGCGTTTATTGTTCCTCTTCGCCCGCCTCCTGGTTACACGGGAAGTGTTACAACAGCCAGCAGCAACGCCACTGCCGCCGCCGCTGCTCCAGTCGGTGCTGCTGCTGCTGCCGTAAGTGCTGCGCCCTCTGCACCGGCTCCCGAGCCCTTGGCGCCCCTCCCCTCTCCCCCCGGGCGCAGCTCCAGGCGGTCGCTGTGGGGGTTGAAGCGGGGGAAAGGGGGGAAGGACGCGGAGGAAGGGGGGATTGAGGCGGAGAGGAAGGAAGAGGAAGTGAGGACAGAGGAAGCGCAAATGCAGGCGCAAACGCAAGCGCAAGCGCAGGAGCAGACGCAGAAATTGGCTCAGGAGGAGCAGGAGCAGGAGCGGATACAGCAGCTCTTTTTGACGCAGTTGAGGCTAGAGGAGGAGTCACAGCAACAGACGCAACCAGACGCAACGCCAGAGCTTTACCAGGAACAGCAGCAGGAGCAGCAGCAGCAGGAGCCGCAGCAGGAGGAGGACGCTTCCCCCGCGTCCCCCCCTCCACCCGCCATCTCCCTCACAGGCGCGGCGCTCAAGGCGGCGCAGCTGCGCGCGCTCTTCCTGGCGACCATAGAGGACTCGCTCCCCGCGGACTGCCTGCTCCTCTCGGGCGGGCTCGCGTCCACCATCATTGCGCACGCCGCCACGTCCCTCATCTGGCCGGGCAGCATAGCCGCCGCTATCACCGTCCTTGCGAGCCCCAAGGCCGCGGACAGGCTCCCCGCGGCGGCTGCCGCGCGCGGGTGCCAGCTGGGCGCGGGGATGGGCGCGGGGGGGAGCGGGGGGCATGTGTTTGTGGGGGGCGGGCCGGGGTTTCAGCCGGAGCACCTGCTGGAGACGGAGTTACGGTTTGTGGTGCGCGTGTTGAAGAGCTTCGACCCCGCTGAGGTGAGTTTGTGCCCCTTTAGGAGTTGCTGCAGAAGCCCACCGCAGAGTCAGGGTGAGGGTAACGGCCGGGTTGGACTATGTTGACTGAAGTGTGGGTTCCAGCGGAGCATCTGTTGGAGACGGAGTTACGGTTTGCGGAGGCCTTACGTCCATCAACTTGTACGTCGTTTTAAATAACCATACAAGTTGATGGACGTAAGGCCTCCGCAGCCCACCTGTCTGCGTTCGACAGCATCTGTTGGAGACGGAGTTATGGTTTGTGTTGCTCAAGAGCTTCGACCCTGCTGAGGTGAGCCAGTGGCTCCGGCTTGGGTGGCTCGGGTGGCTCAGGTGTCTCGCACAACCTGCAGCCTGGAACCTGCTGTGTGACCCAGGCTGACCCAGGCTGACCAGGCTGACCCAGGCTGACCAGGCTGACCAGGCTGACCAGGCTGACCCAGGCTGACCAGGCTCAGCCTCAGCACCGGCTGGAGATGGAGCTGTAGTGTGCATGCTGAGAATGCTGCTGCTGGTGTTGAAATGCTCCCTGCGATCGAGGGAGTCCACATGCCGTTATGTTTAATCGCTTCCTCTTTACCCCTCCCCCCCTTTCCCTTGTCTTCCCCATCCCGCCCTAGTGCAGATCCGCATGGGCGTGGTGCTGGCGGCGGGATTGAGGGAGGCCAAGCGGCAGGGGTTCTGCTCGGTGATGGTGGGCGATGGCGCGGACGAGCTCTTCACTGCGTGAGTGCCTTGGGGGGACAGAGGTGTTGGGGGGGGGTAGGATTTAGTATGGAATCCAGACCAGAGGGTTTAGGAAGGATGGGAAAGGGTTAGACATGGGATTCGCAGCAGTTTGTGTCCAAAAGCTGTCCATCGTTCTCAAGTCAGAGCTGGCAAGAGACCAGGGATGCCTCTTGTCCCCGCTTATTCCACGATGAGCTGGCAACTCATCGTTCGCTTCGGGCGCCTCAACTCATGTTGTCCGTTTGTGCCCCCTCGTTCCCGCTTACACCTCTCCCCGTCCGCACGTGTCCCTGTCTGTGGCTCTCGCCTGTCGTTGCTTGGCAGGTTTGACTTCATGGTGCGAATGAGCGATGCCAAGCTACAGGAGTGTCGGCACCACATGGTGGATGTTCTGCGCTTCCCCTGCAGAGACCTCGCGCAGGCACTCGGCCTCGAGGTGAGCCCTCATGCTGCTCTGGTTGTGCGGCATCTTAAGGTGTCACCCTCTGCTTTAGAGGCACCACATGGTGGATGTGCTGCGCTTCCCCTGCCGCCACCTCGCCCAGGCACTGGGTCTGGAGGTGAGCCCTGTGTTATCTCGCTTATTCACGCGGTACTGGGGGGATCACAAGCCAACCAGGAGTGTCGGCACCACATGGTGGATGTGCTGCGCTTCCCCTGCCGCGACCTCGCCCACGCTCTCGGTCTCGAGGTGAGCTCCTTACCTCTTTCTGCTTGGTGACGTCACAGTGCTCAGTACAGACATTCATCCTGTTACATTAAGGTGGTATATTGTCTTCGAGGTGACCCCTTTGAATACTCCGTGGTGGCTTGACTCCCTTCCCTACTCTTTCCTCAACTTTTCCCTGGTCTTCACCATTTCCTTCCCCTCCTGCCTCACCCTTTACCCCTTGTGTCCGAGCCTGCAGGTTCGGCAGCCGTTCCTGCACCCGGCCCTGCAGGAGTTCGCCTTGGGGCTGACCAAGGACGAGCTGCTGGGGGAGGGGCGCAGCGAGGAGTGGTGTGACTATAACGAGGGCAACCTGCTGCTGCGCATGGCCTTCCCTGAAGTGGTGTCCGCCCGCCGGCCCAAGGACCCCATTGAGGTGTGCAAAGTGGTGGAATGAGTTTAGGTTGGGTTGCTGTGGTTAAATGGCGTTACAAGCACGTACCCTACTGCTGCTCCTGGCCTTTTTATGAGTCGTTTATGTGTGCGAGCCAAAGAATCCCCCGTCTGGTTGGGAGACTGTTTTAGTGAGGAGAGTGAGCCGAGGCAACTCAGTGTTTTACCTTAGTGCTCCTTGCAACCTTAGTTCTCTGCTTCCCTTTCTGACCTCTCTCCTCCACTACAGGTGGGAGCCGGCACAGTGGCACTAACACGCCATTTTGCCAGGAGGATGGCACGGGAGGAGTTTCAGGCAGAAAGGCAGAGGGTGAAGAGGGAGGACCAGGTTCGGATACGGGACCCCGAGCATCTGCACTACTACCAAGCCTTCTGCCAGGTACGGCGCTTCTCCCGAACCTGCATGCTGGTATAGTGCCAGATTTGCTCCCGAGCCTGCAAACAGGTGCGGTTGCAGCGCTGTACCGAACCTACATGCAGGTATGGCATGTGCAGTGCGTCTGTGCATGGTTAAGCTCTGTGCAAGGTTATTATTCCTCTCTGAAGGGTTGCAATTCAAGGTCGTTTCGAGAAGTTCATTGTCTGCCTTCATTGCCCGCCTATGTGTCTCCCACCTCCGATGCTGCCCCTGTATTGCAGGTGTTTGGCGGGCCTGTGCTCCCGGGGGTGCAGCGCTGGCAGCCCAACGCTTGCTCTGCCTGCGGCTTCCCGCCTCTCTTCCCAGATCAGCTCCTCTGCGCCACCTGCGGCGAATGCTCCACTCGCAAACCCTCCTCCCGCCGCCGCTCCCAACCCAACAACGCCGGTCCTGGTGCTGGCGGTGTTGGGAGCTGTGCTGGGGACGTTGGGGCAGGCGCAGATGGGTTCGGAGGGGTTGGATTGTGCGGATTGGAAGGGGCGCATGGGAGGGGCCAGTCGGGCGGGACTGGTAGCGGTTCTAACGGCCGGGGGAGGTTGAGTGATGTGCCACGCAGCCCGCGCCGCCCCTCCACCCCCCCTCGAGGCTCCTCTCCCAGTGTTGCTTCCCCTTCCAGTGCTGGCAACAGCGGGAGGAAGCAGCGCGGCTGCTGGGGCAACGCGGGAGCGGGAGGAGGGCAAGTGGGAGGGCGAGAGGCGTTTGGAGCGGTGGAGAGGGAGGGGTGTGGGGAGGGAGGGGAGGGGGGGGAGTGGGGGGAGCAAGTGGTGGTGGAGGTGGCAGAGGAGGTGTGTGCGGCTCTGTCAGTGGTGGATCAGGCACTAGCAGGGGTTGCGTCGCCTGATCGAACCTTGCCTGTGAAACACGCCCTAGGAACAAGCAGCAGCAACATCAACAGCAACAGCAGCAGGAGTTGCATGAACAACAATGGCTCCATGAATAATGTGCATCCGATGAGCAACATCCACGCGTTGCTGCTCTCAACGTACTCGCACCCGCCCTCTGCGGCTTCAGCTCTCCACCATTCCGACTCGCTGCTCTCCCTGGTTGCCTGTGTGGACGGTGGGTTGAGCGTCTGGGGCGATATTATCGGCTCAAGCCAGTGCAGCGACGAGCCTGAAGGAGATAGTGACTATAACGTGCGGGATAATAACGAGGAAAAGGAGAGGTGTCGGAGCGAGGGTGGGCAGAGGAGAGGCAGCCGGAGAGTGGGGAGGGGGAGGCGGATGGGAGAGCGAGGAGGGGCGATCGGTGGAGGAGGGTCGATGGACGGTCTGGATCGCGAGGATGCAGATGCGATTACCGAGGGAACAGAGATGTGGAGTGTTACTGATGCGACGACAGAAGTAGCAGGGTTTAGTGAGAGTGAAGAGTGGGGCGATGGGGATGCGGATGGGGATGGGGACGGGGACGGCACACACGAAGGGCTGAGCAGCAGCGGCAGTTTCTCGGACTGTGCTAGTAGCTTTTCAGGGAGGGATGGGGGAGCGGAGGTGCTTGGGGTGGGGATGATGGGGGTAGGGGGAGGAGGGGAGAAGGGTTATGTGCTGGGTGGAAATGAGTGGGGGGACAGTGGGCATGGCAGTGGAAGGTATCTGATCAAGGGAACGGAAACAGCATCGAAGTACAGAGTGAGTGGTCTTTCCATTGCCATCCCCTGCTAGCCCCTAGTTGTCTCTGTCCCTAGGGGTCGTTTGCCTTTTGCCTGTGCTTGCTTTGCGACCTGAGGCTCATCTAAGCATTTTCTGTTCCCTGGTTCTGTGTTCCTTCTCCCCAGGTGCTTGGTGCAGATTTGGCTGCCAAGTCATCATTGAAACACCAACAGCTCTCCACCACATCCCCAACGTTTTACTGACAAGCCCTAGGATGCAGCACACTTACATTTGTCCTATTCCAATATAGAGAAAGGATCTTCCATGCTCCAATTGGAGCTCTAGTTTTCTGCTAGGTGCTATTTTTATCCTGGGAATTGCTGATTTGAAATGTCAAGGTTCTATAGTGAATGGAAATAATATTGTCAGCAGACCTCCTGTTCCAGGAGCAAAATCTGGATTTATGGCACATGCGAACCTCTGGTTATGTAGACTCTATGTGGACTGTAGTCCCACTGGAAAGATATGGTATGGGGATTTCAAAAGGGGAAAATACCGACGGTGATGACGGTGTCAGCTTCAGGAAGCGTGGACACTGACCTTGAAGGACTAGGGTGATTAGCCCTAATAATCTAAACCACCCACGGGTGGCATTGATTCTAACCAGAATCATCGGCATCCCATCGCATCAGATACTCCGTCACTCCCTTTGCCAGCACGGACTGGGTCCACGTGAAACAAAATCTCGTGAAAAGCAGCAGTGTATGCGCGAATCGCAATGAGTAAGTGACCGCGCCCATTGGCCCCTTTTTGCCTATCCAATCTCACCGCAAATTACATCTCTTTCCACCACACCCCAACCTTCTCCTCCTCCTACGGACGCCATCGCATCCCTTGATCTCAAGATCCCATCCCATTTCATTTCATCCCACCCCAGATTTCGTCCCATCTCACGTCATTCCTTGCATCGCGTGCCTGTCTGCTCCTAACATCCCATCCGTCCACGTCACTACGCATCCGATCCCGACGGCATCAAGTCTCCTGTCGATTTGCTTTGGAATCTCCGTCTCGCAAGCAAACTGCCGAGTGCATTGGGTTCATTGGACCCTTCTGCTACTTTGGATGGCTGCTGTGGAACATTTCTCAGATTGTCTGAGAACACGTAGCAGAACGGAACAAGCCTGATCAGAACGGAACAATACCGCAAGGATCTCAGATCAAGCCTGATCTGAGATCCTTGCGGTATTGTCTGTTAGTTTCTACGTCCATCCTGCTCGTGTTGGGTGAGCGGCTCCTACTACCAGGAAGGGTTGCTCGACCCTTGTCAGGACAGCGTCCTGACCAGCGAACCCTTCCATTGAGCTTGTTTTGCGGTTATGCTTACATCCTAGGAATTCCAAGACGTGCACTAAACCTACAACCGCGTGACTTTCCCATAGCAGGAACCTGAATGCTTTTTTATGTTCTGTGTACAAGTAGTGCTTGGGATACAGCCCACCTTGAGATCCGAGTTTCAGGACACACGGAAAACCAATTTCTAATCCAATCTTTAATATAATTATCACGGTCAATATTGAAAGCTGGTGTATATGAGGGGTATAGGTGTTCGACACCTAAGTCGTATACTTAAGTAATGGAGTTGGAGTTCATCTAGAGATTATGTCGACCTTTTCGTCACTTCTACAGGACTCTCTGTTTCAAGCTGTTCCCGCTGCTCTGCTTGCCGTCAGCAGCGACGCGAGGGAGAATCGAATTGTGCAATCCAGGTACGCGGGAAAGGTTGGGATAGACAAGCTAAAAAGTGCAATTGAGCTCCCACACCGTGTGCCTCGCTGCGAGCCTCTTCTATTCAGGATAAGCAATTAAAGACAAAAGTTGATGATAAGTTGCGCCTCAAAAAGCGAGAGCGCATGCGCATCATTGGAAGAGTGTCGACCCTGCAGCAGACCCCGAGGCTAATCTGTTTATCAGTGCTTCGCCCCATCTGCATGATCACCGACTAAGTAATTACCTTTTTTCTAACCATGCTGAGACATCGTTTTCACCGCTAAGGATCCGTGATCTTCGCTCATCCGGCGTGTTTCCCGGTGCACGTGTCCTGGTTCCAAGCAGCTCTGCACTGTTGGATCTGCTCGGCGCGCAATGCGGACACTCGCAAATGATCGGAAGGAGCTTCCTCCCCTTGGTTCACCCAGCAGACCGAGCTTCTGCTCAGGCAAGCACCATCTCTCGCAGGACCCAACTTGCGCTCCTCGGAAATTCATTGTGCGGAGGCTGTTCCTTCTTACATCATGGCAGCTGTGTGCATCCAACAGCTATTTACTACTTCAATGAACAAGGGTGTAATTATCCGTGTGTTGAGCGGAATTTGCGGCATCTCAATCTTTCTCGTCACCATCTTGGTCTCAAGTCTTGTTCGCCGCATTTCAATCGTTCCCATTTCCCTTGTCTCTCAATCTTCCGGCACAGGCTGTGCTGACTGGATGGGATGCCTCGGATGGCGGCAGGACCAAGAGGCGCGTTGGGGTGAGGCTGACTGCCCTAGGAGGGAACGATAGGCGAGAGCAGAACGGGGATGAGAGGGTAGAAGCAAGGGGAGAGAGTCAGGGAGATGGAAGGGGAGAGGAGGGACAGGTAAAGGGAGAGGAGGGAGATGGGAGGAGAAAAGGGAGAGAGGAGGAAGACACCAACAGTATATGCAGCAGTGAGTGGCGATGGCTTGAGATGTCCGTCTCTCTTGCCACGTGTCCTCGTGAGGGGGCCGCCACGTGTACATCTTCACACGGACCGCCTCCTGAAGAAACAGCCCGGGAAGGTCCGAGTGGCGGAGCCCGCGAGCCAAGGATGGTTCTCTGCACTTTCCTGGACATTTCCGAGCGGAGGAAGCAAGAGGTGAGAAGGAGGAAAGTATTTCTCCACTGTCTTTCCTGCACTGTCTCCCCACTGTCCGTCCTCCCCCGTCTCTCCACTGTTTCCCCACCGTCTCTCCACGTTTGACCGATTTTGATATCATTTCTTGCTTCTCTCCCTCGCTATGCTCTCTTCCCCTGGCAGGATCTCATGCTGCAGAGGTTGAAGGATTCCGTTGTGCCTGTCATGGCCTCTCACCAGGACATGGCTGCGAACAATGACTTGCACCATCATAGCTCACAGCATGAGTCACCACCCGTCGTCACCCCCGTCAGAGTCGCCCGCCCTGCTTCAATCGAGGGAGAGGAACAGCAGCAGGCAGGCAGCAGCAGGAGCAGCAAGAGTGGCGTTGACAGATGCGGTGGTGGCAGGGAGGCGGAGCACGGTGAGGAGGGTGGCGGGAGGGGAGAGCAGGCGGCAGGAGGTGGAGAGGCGAGTGGGATTGACGGTGCGAGTAGAGGGTGCAGAGGTGGCGCCGGTGTGGAGGGCGGAGATGGGAACATGGCCGCGTTGACTACGTCTGAGGCGCCTCAGACGACTTCAAATGGACAGTATGACGATTTCAAATCGTCAGATGACAGTATGGACGCTTTGCAGCAGATGGTGGCTCTGCTCAAGGGAGTCAAGCAGTCGCTGCAGTGGAGCCATGAAAGTGCCAAGTTCCATGCAATCTTCGAGATGTCCATGGTGAGACAGCGATATTCGAGACGTTGAGATGTCCATGACCTTTGAGATGTCTAAAGAATGCAGTGGAGCCACGAAAGTGCCAAGCTCCATGCAATTTTTGAGATGTCGATGGTGAGACGGCGATATTCGACAAGCACCATCACTCTCTCCACTCGTCCCCCTCCCACCACCACTCTCCACTCGTCCCCCTCCCACCACCACTCTGTCTCAACCCGTTTTCTTCGCCTCAATTCGCCTCTAGTCTTTCCCCGTCCTCTCCTTCTACCTCCCCGCAGGATCCTATTTTCATCAACTCAATGGAACAAATACTGCATGACCTCAATCCCGCTGCCGCCCACATCCTCGGATTCCCCTCCACGTCTGCCGCCCTGGCGAGCCTGCCCAAGGGCTACCTCCTCAAACACTCCCCTGTGCTACAGCCGTGTGGGCGGCAAAGTTTGGAGCTATTCAAGGGGATTCTGGTGGAGCTGATGGAGCACGGGGAGTGTGCGCCATTCGAGTGGGTGCACACCCGATTGGATGGCTCAGAGTTTCATGTGCTGGTGAAAGTTAAGGTGAGAGGGAGCTCTGATTTGTATGCACTAGAATGAACGCAGTTTGCGCCGTTCGAGTGGGTGCACACCTGATTGGACAGCTCAGAGCTTCACGTGCTGGTGAAGGCCAAGGTAAGCGAAAGCTCCATAATATGTGCGCCATTCGGGTGCACACCCTATTGGATGGCTCAGAGTGTCACGTGCTGGTGAAGGTCAAGGTGAGCGGAGCCCTACATGTCGCTGTAGGACGACCTGCTGGAGATGAAACGCCTGGTTGTAAAGATGCCACAAAATAGCCGACGCCATACGCCCCTACATCCCGGACCCCAACAACATGCCTACGTCTCGACTCTCTGCAGATGGTAATGGTCAATGGAGAGCGCTTGTACATGTCCTTCCTGCAGGACATCACAGAGATGAAAGATGGACATTTGAGATGCTGCAAATCTGGTTTTTGCACCCCCGACACTGTACGAGTCCCTTCATCTCTTTCCTCTGCAGATGGTAATGATCAACGGCGAGCGCCTGTACATGTCGGTGTGGCACGACATAACGGAGATGAAGCGCAAGGAGGAGGAGCTGAAGGCGGCCAAGGAGGCGGCGGAGGCGGGCAACGAGGCGAAGAACCGGTTCCTGGCGAACATGAGCCATGAGCTGCGCACCCCCATGAATGGCGTCATCGGTGTCGCCGAGTTGCTCCTCCGCACCCCCCTCACCCCGCAGCAGCGCTCCTACGTCGACGTCATCTCCTCCTCCGGCAACGCGCTCATCCATATTATATCGGATGTGCTTGATATTACCAAGATTGAGACCAACTCGCTGCTGCTGGACTGCTGCCCGTTCAACCTCCGAGAGACGGTGGCTGAATGCGTGGAGGCGGTGAGGCCGGCTGCAGAGAACAAGAAACTCGCGGTAAGAGATAGATATTTATTCAACTCAGTTCTGCCTTGGTTGTGAAAGTGGTCGTGGCTGCTATCTAGTTTGAAATTCTTCACCATCTGGACACGTTTCAACCCTGCTCCATGTCTCCCATCCCCCATCTCCCATCTTCCATCTCCCATCCCCCATCTCCCATCTCCCATCTCCCGTTTCCTGCTTCCCGCCTTCTGTCCCCTCGCTGCTTTGCGAAATCTTCTCATTGAACCTCCTGGCCTGCCTTCTCTTCAACCGTCACCCCTATCTTCCCACAGTTGCACAGCAGCGTGGGCGGCGGCATGCCGGAGTGGGTGGAGGGCGACCAGCTGCGGGTTCGGCAGATTCTGCTCAATCTGCTCTCCAACGCCATCAAGTTCACTGACCACGGCCAAGTCCTCCTCTCCGCCGCCCTCTCCCCCAACCCCTTCGACCATGAAACTGAGAAGCCCGTCGACCCTGAAAGCGGAGATCCCCTCGACTCGCCCTTTGAGTCTGGGGAACAGCCGGGCGGCGTTGTGCCTACAGGGAGGAAACGGCGGCTCGGCAATGCCGAGAAGGGAGCGGAAGGAGCCTTTGTGTCTGCTGGGAAGAAGCAGCGGCATGGTGAGACAGCACAGGTAGAGGCTGGAGCGGCAGAGGCAAAGGCTGCAGCAGAAGCAGAGGCAGGGGTCGGAGCAGAAGCAGTGACAGAAGCAGATGCAACGGATTTGGCAGCAGAGGAACCAGTGGTTGGAACAGCAGCAGAGCCAGGGGCTGCATACGCTGCTCACAGGGAGGAGATAATTCGGATTGGGAGAGCACCCAACGAGGGGAATAGCGGCAGTGAGCGTAGCGGGAGTGGTGAGCGTGGTGAGAGTGGTGAGAGTGGTGAGAGTGTGGATCCTGAGTTCATGGCTGTGGCTGCATCAGCGGCAGCAGATGTGGCAGCGGACGATGCAGTGTTCTCGATCACCTCCCTGCACCCACTCGCCCCTGCACGTTCTCTTCAGAGGGCAATATCAGCATCAGCCCCAGCCGATGCTGCAGCCGATGCAGCCGATGCTGCAGCAGACAATGCTGTGTTCGCAATCACCTCCCTGCACCCACTCACTCATGTGGCGCCTCAAATGGCATTGTCAGCGTCAGCCCCTGCAGAGACTCCAGCAGATGCTTCAGCAGACGCTCCAGCAGCTGATGCAGCAGAAGATGCTGCGCTCTTGATGGCTGCTCTGCACCCGGTCGTGACTGCTTTCCCACACTCCCTTTCTTTGGATGCGTGGAGGCAGGAAGGTGACAGAAACGAGGAGGTCCTAGGGGATGTGGTTAGAGGCGGGGAGGGCGAGTGTGGGGCGGGTCATGCCAGGGACGTGGTTGATGATGCAGGGGCAGGGGCAGCAATAGTGCAGGAGAGACCAGATGCAAGGGGCAGTGGGCCTGGGAGGAGAGGGGGGAGAGAGCACGCTGAAAGGGATGCGCATGGGGAAGGGCACGCCTGTGCGCAAGAGCATGGGGATGGGGATGATCATGGAGACGGCGATGGAGATGGGAATGGGGATGGGGATGGGGAGGAGCGGAGGGCAGTGGTGTGGGTGCGGATAGACATAAAGGACACCGGAGAGGGTATTTCCACCGACGCCCTTACGAGGCTGTTCACGCCGTTCCGGCAGGTGGACGACTCGTCGTGCCGCAAGCACGGCGGCACGGGCCTGGGTCTCTCCATCTGTCGCTCGCTCGCCGCGCTCATGGGGGGCTGCATCTCCGTCGCCTCCTCCCCCCGCCACGGCTCCACCTTCTCCCTCCACCTGCCCTTCTCTCCTGCATCGCAGCCAGACGAGAGTGGTCATTGTGGTGAGCGTTTCGGGGCTGGTGGTGCTGCCACTGCTCCTGCTGCTTCTGCTGCTCCTGCTCCTACGGCTGCTCTTGTTGCTGCTCCCGCTGCTGTGGCTGTGACTGCTGCTGGTGCTGCTGGTAGCAGTGGTCACCGGGAGGGGGCACAGAAGCACAAGGGCAGTGAGAGGCGCCGGGGGCACAAGAGGACCCGATCCTTTTTGCTGGAAAATGTGGCTGACTGTGGGGTTTTCCCGGTGCTGCCAGTGGCGCCAGCGCAGCAGAGTTATGACGGGAACCAGCAGGAGCTGCAGGCCAGTCATGCTGGAGATCATCGTCATCATCATCATCAGCAGCAGCAGCAGCAGCAGCATGGATCAGAGGAGAAGGGGTGTGGTGTGAAACCGGTTGGTGGAAGTGTGATGGGGAGACAGAGTGTGGAAGATGCAACTGAGTCAGGTAAAGGCAGAGAGGTGTTTGAGACAGGCCAAGGTTGCAAGGGGGTGAGAATCGAAGGTGCTGCCGGCTCAACAAAGGAAGGTCAGGAGGGGGAAGGTGGTGAGCAGATGCGAGAAAGCAGGTTATGGAGGGATAGACATGGTGAGACAAGGATGCCTCTTGAAGAGGTTGTAGCAGGTGCACATCTCAAGTCCCCGTCGAATGGGTTATTTCCCAAGTCGCACTCTAATGGTGGCGCATTTTCCAAGCCCCCCTCTACGGGCAGCGTATTTCCCAAATCCCCCTCTAATAATGGGAAATCCCCAAAGTCGCCCTCTAAGGGTGGCGGATTTCCCAAGTCCCCGTCTTGCGGCGGGGTGTTTGAGGGGCTGCGGTGCCTGGTGGTGGAGGACAACGCGGTGAATCGCATGGTGGTGGTGCAGCTGCTGAGGAACCTGCGAGTCTCGTGTGATGTGGCAGAGAATGGGCACAAGGCCGTGGAGGCCTGCCGCTCCACCAACTACCACGTCATCTTCATGGTCAGTCCACCACCTGCCACGTCATCTTCATGGTCAGTCCACCAACTGCCACGTCATATTCATGGTCAGTCCACCAACTGCCACGTCATCTTCATGGTGTGTCCACTTGCTCCCTCATTCGCTTTGGTCCTTCTCGCCGTCCCTTATCCACCAACTACCACATCATCTTCATGGTCAGTCCTTGTTCGTGTTTCTCATATGTCCTCCCTACATCAGCGTCATGGCCAGATTATTCCAAACTCTTTCAATTCATCACCACAAGCTCATGATGATGGCGCCATTTGTTTTTTTTTTTTTTGGGTACCCTTTTTCTATTTTCAGGATTGTCACATGCCAGTAATGGATGGGTTTGAAGCCACCACTCGCATTCGGAAGCTACAATCCGATTCCGGAACAGCAGATATGAAAAATACAACCCTGTCGGACAGACAATCAGCATTGGATGCTCAGAGAGGGGAGGAAAGCCCACATGACAGGGTTGTTCAAAGGTCCGCCATTTATGCAGTCACAGCTAGTGTGCTCAAGCATGAACAGGACAGATGTGCAAGCGTAGGGATGGATGGCTTTATTGCCAAACCAGTCAGGTTGAGGGACATACAATCAGTATTGCTCCAGTTAGTGAACAATGTACAAGGGTAATGGGAGTGCATGGTTGGCTGGACAGTGAAGCAAGTTTCACAAGCAGATTTCTTTAGACTGCTTGGACCTTAGTCTGCATGTGGACGATCAGAAGAAGGTACCATACTGGAATCCGTAAGCGGTAGGCAGGCAAACCAGTTGCAGCCGTCATGCACAAAGAGTGTTTCGACTTGTGTGTCCCCCTCCAGCTGACATCTGCTGGGCTGAAGTGCAACTGAGGTATGTGTTCGTCTGACTGAAGTCCAATTTCCCGGGTAGTTTGTAATTGCCACTTTACAGAGTGCCCCAGCTTCGAATCGAAACACATCGTTGCAATTTTTTGCACATCTGCCAGCTGTATTGATGCAGTCGATACGGAGCAAATCACCACGGCAGGAAGTACGCACTGTACAAGGAAGCAACCATTGCCATATTGGCTGTGGCTGACGTGTCTCGATTCCTCTCTGATGCCCGTGTGCACGGACTCCATAAATGTTTCCCCCCTTCCGACTGGCAAATGGGACAATATTTTGGATTCTCGATGTTTCTAGAGAACCGACGATATATTTTGTGGTGACGGAGTTTGGGAGAGTTCCAGAAATTTATTAACATGTTAATAGTGGGTCGAGTTTATGATAGATCGACTGTGAATAAGGTTTATCAAGTACTTGGCATATTCTGGTTACACTGTTACACCGACAGAACGAGGAGATTAAAGAGCGTGAAAAAAGTCTTGGCATCAGCAGTTACTTGACAAACGTGCGTGACCTCTGTTCTGTTCTGCTGCCAGAACCAGCTGGTGTGCCATGTAGTTGGAGAAAAATCCGATAGCCGCGGATCAGTGCACGGATTTCGGCGTGCTTCAATACAGTGTGACAAAGTCGAGGCAAGCGAAACCAGATTCTGTCGCTCTGTGCCCAGATGCTACCACTGTAGCTTCCCTCCCTCACAGACCCTAGCAGCGGAAGGGATGACCAGTGCTTGCGTTGCGATGCGACCCCCGTTATCGTCCACTTCACAGCTGCTTTGCTGCATTTGAAGTTCGTGCGACCTTGTAACCAGCTGAACGACGTGTATATGTGATTTCGTTCAAGGCAGCTGGATTCCTTGTTCAAACCCTTACCAGACACTTGTAATTCCATCTCATGCGAAAGAAAGTCAGCAAGGCAAAGTCCAACCAGGGATTGAAGGGCATTTTTATCTAGCCCGTTTTCAGATAGCAGCTGGTTCCCTCAGGTCCGACCTAGTTTTCATGGAAAGGATCCCTGTAGTTACGTTTATGCTAACATAGTATATAAGCACACATGCGTCCCAATACTTATAATAACTAGCGATGCTAACAGTCTGTGCCCAAATATCGGCGAGATTTTAACAGCCATGGCTGAAAACGTTATGGACATTTTTAAGAGTTCGCTTCTCCTGGCGGTTCCCGCTGTCCTGGTGGCCGTGAGCGGTGGGGACGCGAGGGATCAGCGGCTAGCGCAATGCAGGTACTAAAACGGCTCAACTTGCGTGGGTAAGGGGGGTAAGTGGATTAAAACTGCATTGCGATCCGGATCACAAGCTGCCACGCCCTCTTTAGTAAAAGTTGTTGAAAAGTTCTTAGCGTCCGCGTGCGTGTCGAAGACCTGACGTCTGAACTCCTTTCTTTATTACCCGGTCCCGCTGCTTGCAACAGCGCTGCTCTGGCCGATATGCTCGGCGTGCCGCAAAGCGACCTGTCCGGGAAGCGCGTGCAGTCGCTCGTTCACCCCTCCGATAGAGAGGCCCTGGAGGTGAGCCCAGCAAGTAGTAGAGCTGTTATCCAAGACCTGAGTCTCAATGCCACCTGTCCGGGAAGCGCGTGCAGTCGCTCGTTCACCCCTCCGACTCGGAGGATAGAGTCGCCCTGGAGGTGAGCGAGCAATGCTGCTGCCAGTGAAGATTGTCAGGGATATATTTCTGAGTCGATAGATACAAAAATGACCTGAAATTCGCTCATCCTCCGGGACAAAAATGACCCAGGGGGTGAGCGAGCAATGCAGCTGAAGATTGTCAGGGATATATTTCTGAGTTAAAAAATTTGCCGCAAAGCGACCTGTTCGGAAAGCGCGTGTGTTCATCCTTCCGATAGAGCCGCTGTGGAGGTGAGCCGCGTAATAAAGCTGAAGACTGTCGCATGAGGTAGAATATTAATGGATCTGAGGGCTATATCTGATGCCGGTAAAAAACTTTCATTTTCTCCTTGACCCTCCTGCCATCCCTCTATCTCCCCATCCTTCCATCTTTTCAACCTTTCCATCTCCCCATTCCTCATCTCCCTCTCCCTCATCTCCCCATCCCTCCATCTCCCCTTCCCCTCATCTCCCCATCCCCCCATCTCCCCTTCCCCCGATCCGCCCTCGCGCAGGCAGCTGTGGGGGAGTGCGCAGCGGACAGCAGCAGGCGGAAGCGGCAGGTCTGGGTGCGGCTGGCAGTACGAGGACTGGGCGAGGATGGGAAACGGGGCGGGGGGGGCGAAGGGGAGGCATTGGCTGAAGGGGAGATGGGCGCAGAGGTGGGAAAGGAGCAGAGGGAGGGCGAGGTTGGGGAAATTGAAGGGGAGGCGGGTCGGAGGGGCAGCAGCAGGAGCAGCAGCAGCAGCAGCATCAGTAACGAGTGGCGGTGGTTTGAAGTGTCGGTGTCCCTGGCTTCGTCACTGGCTTCGCGTGCAACGAATTTGACGACGAGTGCCAAGGATGGGCGGAAGGACCAAAGGATGGTTCTCTGCACCTTCGTTGATGCCACAGAGCAGAGACTGCGTCAGGTGAGCGTTTTCGGGAATGGTAGCTTTGAGATGGGGTGGGGTTTCGTTGTCTCTGTCCGCCCCCCTCCTCTCTCTCCTTTCGCTCTTTTCCCTCGGAACAAGTGCAGCGGCAGCTGGGGCAGTGTTCCAGTCATCACCCTCACTTTTCTCTCGTAGAGGTGACTTTTGAGTCGACTCAAAAGTCACCAATGGCTGCAGCAGCTGGGGGAGTGTTCCAGTCGTCACCCTCACTTCTCTCTCTTACCCCTCTGCCCCCCTCTGTTCCCTGGGTCCAGGTGCTTATGCTGCAGCAGCTGAGGGAGTGTGCGCAGCTCGCCACGCCATCGCACCCAACACCGCCTCAACCACCCCCCGGTGCCCCTCAAACTGCTGTCACCGATGCTGCTGTCACCGATGCTGCTGTCACCGATGCTGCTCCCACCGATGCTGCTGCCACCGATGCTGCTGCCACCGATGCTGCTGCCACCGATGCTGCTGCCACTGATGCTGCTGCCACTGGTGTTGCTTCCATGCATGGCGCGACCAAGCATTCTCACGGTTCTTCTGCTCATGCTGTTGCTGTGGCCAGAGGTGCTGCCGGTGATGGCGTTGGTGCTGGTGCTGGTGCTGCTGGTGCTGCTGGTGCTGCTGGTGCTGGTGCTGGTGGTGCTGATGCTGCTGGTGGTGGTGTTGACAGTGGGGGGGAGGGGCGGGTGTGTATGTGGAAGGAGGCGGAGTGGCTGATAGAGCAAGTGAGGGAGGCGTTACTCCTGGGCCACGAGAATGCCAAGTTCAGAGCCATCTTTGACCTCTCCATTGTGAGTGCACCTCATATTCACCGCGTCGTAACCGTACCTACAACGTTGGTTCAGCTTGCTCCCACTCTCTGCTGTGCCTGCACCACTACTGCTCCTGGGCCACGAGAATGCCAAGTTCCGAGCCATCTTTGACCTGTCCATTGTGAGTGCACCTCATATTCACCGCGTCGTAACCGTACCTACAACGTTGGTTCAGCTTGCTCCCACTCTGCTGTGCCTGCACCACTACTGCTCCTGGGCCACGAGAATGCCAAGTTCCGAGCCATCTTTTACCTCTCCATTGTGAGTGGAACGGACAGTTCATGCCCAGCTCTTCACCCTACCTGCTACTTTGCGTCAGCGCATCCTGCGCCTTGAACTGGACAGGCAAGGCGCGGGATGCGCCTGCGTGTTACCCACTTATCCCCTTCTAATCACTCTTCTCCTCCCCTCTCGCCGTTCCTTTCTCATCCCCGCTCCGCTCCACAGGACCCCATCCAGGTGTTCACAATCCCAGACTTCACCCTCCGGGACTGCAACGACGCCACGGTTCAGATCATTGGTTACCCTTTGAGATTAGTTTTGAGAATTCTCAAAACTAATTTCAGATCATTGGTTACCCTTTCAAAGCGTCTGCACAAGTTATTGCCTCCGTCCCTCGTCCCTCCTTTTCCCAACCCGCTTTCCCCCCCTCTCCCGCCCCCCATACCCACACAGGACCCCATCCAGGTGTTCACAATCCCCGACTTCACCCTCCGGGATTGCAACGATGCCACCGTGCAAATCATCGGCTTCCCCTCCAAATCTGCCACACTGGCCAACCTCAGCATTGTCAAGCAGTCCCCCGAGTTCCAGGCAAACGGGCGGCGAAGCTTGGAGTATTTCCTGGAGATTCTGGACGAGATTTTGAGAGAGGGCGGCCTGCCGCCCTTTGAGTGGGACATGTTCTCATTGGACGGCCGCCCGTGCACGGTTCTTGTCAAGGGCAAGGTGAGAGTAAGTAAGATGCACCCGTATGTTTCAGGCCATCGTTTCAGGGTTTCTAATATTGGGTTTTCTTTCTCCCTGATGTTGTGTTTTTTTTTTTCTTTGGTCCCCGCCTCTCTATTCTCCAGGTGGTGACGGTGAACGGGATCTCGTACTACGTATCGGTGTGGCACGACATAACGGAGATGAAGCGCAAGGAGGAGGAGCTGAAGGCGGCCAAGGAGGCGGCGGAGGCGGGCAACGAGGCGAAGAACCGGTTCCTGGCGAACATGAGCCATGAGCTGCGCACCCCCATGAATGGCGTCATCGGTGTCGCCGAGCTGCTCCTCCGCACCCCCCTCACCCCGCAGCAGCGCTCCTACGTGGACGTCATCTCCTCCTCCGGGAACGCGCTCATCCATATCATCTCGGATGTGCTTGACATCTCGAGGATTGAGACGAAATCCTTGGTTCTGGATCACTCTCCGTTCAACCTGCACGACACTGTGAACGAGGCCGTGGAGGCCGTGAGGATCGCAGCCGAAAGCAAGAAACTTAAGGTGAGCAATGTGCTTCACAAGCAATTATGGTACATATGCAAATGTATGTATTTAACATGGATGTTCATATACACATAAGTTAATATATGTATATGAATACTTACGACGCATTATGTACGTGTATGTATACATGCATGTTAAGGTTAATATATACTACATATGTACATTGTTGTATTAAAGCATGTTATTTTTTAAGCTTCATATTTTTTTTGTTATGAAGAAGGCTTCATGCGTCCTTTCTATGTTACACTACATATGTTATTAGTATCGTTGATGCCAAATAATTCAATATGATATGCATGGACATTTGTATGCAATCCTATGTTCGTTTGTTATCGTTTTTTTGCCATATGCTTCTTTCTAATTCCTTTCGTTGCTAACTATTTTCCGCAGTTGCAAAGCCGGGTGAGCGCGGCTGTGCCGGAGTGGGTGGAGGGGGATCAGCTGCGGGTCATTCTCATCTTCCCCCCATCCCCTTCATTCCTTGCCTCCCCTCCCTCCCTTCCTACAGTTGCAGAGCAGCATGGGCGGGGGTGTGCCGGAGTGGGTGGAGGGCGACCAGCTGCGGGTTCGGCAGATTCTGCTCAATCTGCTCTCCAACGCCATCAAGTTCACCGACCACGGCCGCGTCCTCCTCTCCGCCGCCCTCTCCCCCAACCCCTTTGAGTCTGACGCCGGTGGGGAAGTTCGTCACGTAGTGGCTTCGCCAGGTGCGGATGAGGAGATGGTGGCAGGAGAGGCATGGAGGCTTGCAGCCGAACAGGTGGAAGGGTGCATGGAGAGCGGATTGTGTGCTAGAGAGCAGGAGAGGGAGGAGGATCAGCCAAGGCAGGGAGGTACGCATAACATGGATGAAACATCAGCAGCAGCAGCAAGAGCAGGAGCAGGAGCAGGAGGAAGAGCGGGAGAAAGGGGCGGGGGAAGTTGGGGGGGAGGAGGAGGGGAGGAAGGCATGGATGAGGAGTTAGCAAAGCAGAAGTTGAGGGAGGATCTGGATCGAATAATGAACGAGCCGTGGATGCTCACTCCCGCCACTGCCTCTCTTGCTGCTGCTCGGGCCGGTCTCGCTGCTGCCTCTCTCTCCTGCCCCTCCAGAGCGTCGGACTCGCCAGCTGTAACGCCAGCTGTAGCTGCTGCAGGTGCTGGCACGGCTGCTTCAGAGCCGGCTGTAGCGGGAGCAGGGGACGCCATGGATGTAGCAGCTGCGCCAGCCGATGCGGTGACAGCAGGTCAGGCCATGGATGTAGCAGAGAGCCCAGGCTTGGCAGCAGCAGCAGCAGCCCCAACAGCACTGGAGCATCCCACGTCAGACGCTGCAGCAGCTGCAGCAGGCGAAGGGGG